TGAAACTGCCAAGCGCGGATCATCAGTCAAGCCCACAATTACAAAGAAAATTTAAAAAGCAAACATTGTCAGGTGTGCAGTCTGAGTGAAAGGACAAACAGGTGCATTTTTGTAAAACCCGTATTGAAATGTATGCTGAAAATCTCTAAAATCTTCCTATCTTCTGAAACATTTTAAGTCCACAAATGTATTCTAAGAGGATAATTAGCTGAATAGAGGTAAGTCATCCAGGCATTATTTACATTCCCAAAGAACAGGACATCGCTGTCACCTGAGTGATGCCCATATCATGGTATACTTCATCACTATTAAAATATTTTTAAATATTTTTATTGACAAGGACAGGTGCCATAATATACTGCATTAATTTGTTAAAACATCTGTTATTGAAATAATTAGAATAATCATTCTATTAATACAAATTGTGGATATATACATATAAAGACATAGGAAAATATGAAAAGTAAACCAAAATGTCAACAATGACCATCTCTGAATCTTTCATTTTACTTACGCTAATTTTTATGCCAATTTTTTCATGCTAAGATATATTGTTTGCATGGTTTTTAAAAAGGAAGAGACAAATAAAAAGAATTTACAATTACAGCGTTCACAATTTCTACAAGTAAATCTCTGAATTAGCTAGCTAGAAGGTACTCCCACAAATAATTTGTACAACTTATTCTTAATACATATGTACTTGCTGAACTAAAAAAGTTGAAATATTTACTCACACAAGCTCTAGATACTCATCGTCCATGCCGAAGTCCTTGCAGGGAAGTGTGATCTGTCCATGAGAACGGAGAAGACTTAGGGCTTATGACCCATGCCCCTCACGGGTACCCTGGTAGGGGCAGTGAAGGGAGACTGGCAGATTAACACACTCTGCCACAGTCAAGGAAGAATTACGGACGAATCTTAACTAGAACCCAGGTTTCCAACTGCCAAGGAAATACTGGATACCTGTCCAGACCCCACCTCCATTCACCCCATAACACCAGAAACCGGATTCTCCACCATCAGACAGGCGATATGAGGACCCTCCTGGCTTTCTTGCTAATTAGGGAGAAAGGAAAGAAAGCGCCAGTAGGTGTAGCCCAGCAAAAATTAAACCAAATTGAATTCATATGTTTAATAAAGGAAAGCATTTGGGTTTGTCAAAGTTAATCAAAACCTTAACTAAAAACCAATGACATTATGCAATGAAAATGAATAATGCTCTAAGAGAGGGCTGTTTCTGTCGCCTTTAGACAGTCAGGATCATAGGTGGTACTATTTTGTTTCTCTTCCTATATAATCTTTATCTTGGAGCAACGTAGGTCTATTCATAGTTACCTGGAGAAGAGTGAATTTTCTGTTGAAAAATAAACTAGAATTCTACTTTCAGAATTACTGTGGCTTGATCCAGCAGCAATACTAAGAATGCTTTCTATAATTTCTCTTATTTTAAATGAGACAAATATCAAAATACCTCCTGCTCTTATCCTTTTATGAGCACAACAGAAATGTAAATACTGCTCTGAATTCTGCATGAGGACTGCAATATTGCCAACGTGGGGATTATGTACACTGAGCCATTATATCAATGAAAAGATAAGCATCTGAATAATTCCAGTAGGTTGTTTCAAAAACATTTTATTGCTGTCCCAAAAAATCCAAATATGCATTTTAAATATAATACATATAAATGAATTTGCAGGCAGACCATTCACTGTCCTAAGACCTCCCATGCAAAAAACCTCATACTAAAGAGAAATGGCTTATCAAGATTATATTATCGCTTTACCCTTCTTATTCAGACTCTTAAGGATACCCTAAGTATGAGAGGTTAGATCATAAAAGTAAAAGCAAGGTTCCCCAACCTTGTCTCTTGGATTTGGACCAGCTCCCTCTTCGTGGCAGGGGCGGGATGATGAGTACCATCGTGGCCTCGACCCACCAAATGCCAGTAGCACCCTTGCCCAGTTACGAAAAACAAAAACTTCTCTGGACACTCTGACATCTACTGGCCATGGGGGCAAAACTGCCCCACTGGAGAATGAGCAATATAAAGGGAGACAGAAGGCCTCGCCGTGGAATTTGGAGTGGCCTCCCAGGGAGGTGACCCATGTCCCTCCACAGACAGAACAGAGAAGCTGAGAAAGACGGATCCAGGTGGGGAGAGGAGTCTCCCTTTGTCTCCCTGTCCTTCTCCAAATCCATGTAAAGGCCAGTGTTTGGGGGGGAGGGGAAGGGAAGACATTCCAAACATAGCTGGAAAACAAGAACATTCCACCTACACAGCAATATCATTAAGGAAATTCTAAGAGAAGAAGACAGACGGAACCCATGTGGCCGAGTGAAGCCCAGAGTGTGGCCCGTGGGGCAGCTTGTCCCAGCCAGAGCTGGGCCAGTCCCACGGAGGGGACGGGGAAGAAGGGTTTCTGACAACTCCTACCCACAAAACCCAAAGGACTATGTTCTTTCCATGAATTAACCACCTGTCAAGACTGTTTACAGAAATACAGAAATCTTCAGCCCCAACAAGGTAGAGTTCATGGGGAAATTTAGAATACTAAATAACACCTATCAGGAAGGGAGGAGTCTCAAATCCCTGACCACAGCTTTGATCGTTAAAAAAACACGAATTAAAGCAAATTAAAACCCAAGTAAGTAGAAGAAAGGAAATAATCAAGACCAGAACAGGTATCGGAGAAACAGAGAATATAAAAACAGTACTGATAATCAATGACACCAAAATCTGGTTCATGGAGAAGATCATTAAAATTGCCCAACCTGACTGATGAGGAAAAAGGGAGAGAAAATTCAAACTCATGGCATCCAGAACCGGAGAAACAGCATCATTATAGATTCTCAGATCCTGAACGCACACTAAGGGAAGATTATGAGCAACCTGATGTCCGTGAATCTGAAAACCGCAGGTGTTTCTCGGTGGGGTGGGAGGGGATGACCTTCCCTCAAGGGGCACTCGGCAGCGCCTGGAGACATGTCTGGTGTTCACCGCGGGAGGGAGGGCACGGTCCGGTGGTTGGAGGTGTGGGGTGCTGCTGAACATCCCCCACACCCAGGACCGCCCCGACCACCCAGGACTGTGCAGTTCAGAATGCGAGGAATACCTTCCACACACCGTTCCCTCAGGTGGGAGTTCTGCCGTCCTAAGGAAGAACCTAAGGAAAGGGCCTTGTCCGGCCACAGGTGCGCCCACCGAAGGCCAGCGTGGGTGCCGGGCCGATGACAGAGGTGGCGGCGGGCTCAGGGCAGCGACGCGGGGGAGTCACGGGGGAGGCCAGAGCCGCGGCAGCTCCCTCACCTCTGCGATCCCCTTCGGGACAAAGTGCTGTCCCCTTATTATAGGGGAGAGTTGCGTCTCGTAGGGGCAGTTACTGCTGCCACCGTGCAAGCTGAGGACAGAGCTGGGGGCGTGGTGGGCAGCCTGCCGCAGGCTCCGGCGATGGCCCCCACATGGGCTGCCCCACATCGCTGAGCATGGCCCTGCTCCTCTGATGCTCACCACGTTGTGAAGGACTCCTCCCCAAGGAGCAGCACCCCAACATCACCAACAACAGACTGTCCCCAGAGGCAGGCCTGCACCAACGTTCTGTCCATCCAGCGCTCCCTGAGTGGGGAGCGAGCGTCCTGGGGGGTGTTCCCCACGTCACGCTGGGTCCCGGGTGGTGGGGCTGACAGCCGAGTGCAGAACCCCTTTATCCAGCCCCACTGAAAGGAAAGGTGCACCTCATATCCTTAGTAACAAACTCCTTTTCTGCCTAAACAAGCCAGAGTGAATTCTGTTCTTTCCAACCCAGAACCCTACCCAATCCGTGGAGGAAACAGGCAGGGGTCTGCTCCTCGCTACCAGGAGGTTGCCTGATTCCAAGCCCTGAGGCGGCCTCAGGGCTGGTCTCTGCTGAAGCAGAGGGTGGGAGAGTTTAACAGGAAAAGCCTGGGGCGCCCGACCGCCTCAGTCAGAAGAGCACAGGACTCTTGATCTCGGGGTCGTGAGTTCGAGCCCCATGCTAGGTATAGAGATGACTTAAATCAATAAACTTAAAAAAAAAAACACTAAAAATTAAGAAAAATAAAAATTAAATAAAAGGAGAATTTTGTCTTCTACCTCCCTGAAGGCTCTTACACAAAACTGAAGTCCCACCGAACGGCTACCATGTTCCTGGCTGTGGAGACGCACCCCAAAGTCAACATCGCCTTCTGAGAATATCAAGTAAGCCCAAGCAGATGTTAGCGAACAGAGATGTGAATGTGTGAGGTGCCCCCGAGTGACACATGAGGGGACGGAGGGGACAGAGCAGCGTCATCGAAGGGTCCACCCAAATCTTACCGCATTCATCCACGCAAATCTCTTCCGGAGCGATGGGACACCGTGGACGCGTCCTCTCTTCCCCTGAACCATCAGAATGACAGCGTCCGCGTGTGGAGGCTGCGGCGGGCTGTGAGATGTGCTCACTGGCACTGGGAGGGGAGGTCACAGCCCCACCAGCACCCATGTTCACAGGCAGGTGAGCGGTGGGCACACCCTGCAGGGCCTTCCTGAGCACATGGGAGTTTTGGGCATTTCACGAATGTGTGGCAGTCAGACATGTGCGTCCCTGCTCCACAGTCACCAGCTCCACGCCTGGCTCCCGTGTCCCCCACACACACCAAAGCACCCACCACCACCAATGCCACGTGGTGGCCTCTCCTACCAGCACGAAGGAGTGAGAGCACAGAAGGAGAAGCCCCGTTCAGGGGTTCCAGTTCCCTTCATGGCCGCCACGGACCCGCACACATGCTCAGCACACCTACCACCACCTGCCGCCCTCCACGGAGACCCCACGGACCTCCTCGAAGCCTCTCCCCACATCCCCCACAAACACGGCACCTGCGAGGAGTCACCCCGTCTGTCCAAACAGAAGGCACCCTCCCCTCCCATGTCCCACCACCGGCCCACTGGGTCCCGGCCCTCGCGGATGCACGGAGCGCGGGGAGCCCACAAGGGACATTACCTGAGCAGTCCCCATCACGGCTGGGCTGGGTGCAGGCCGAGGGCGTCCAGCGGCTGGTGCTCTGAAACTGCGCTGGGCTTATGGCCGCGCCTCACGTGGTGCCAAAGCCTAAGATGAGGAATGGACAGAAATGGGGAAAATATGATAAAAAAACATAAGCAAACTCCCACCGTGGACAAGAAAACACATGGAATGGGCACAGACAACATGACACCAGGCGATAATTAAAACGGAGAACAGTGATGTGGCAGAGAAACTGCCTATAAAAAGTGAGGCCAGCAAGGCTTAAGTAAGACCCTGAAACGCTGGGTATATACGCGCAGACCTGTGTCCGTGGTGAAAAAGAGGTCATTTCTCAAGCAGCGCATGACACGACGAGACGTGGCTTTCCCACCTTCAAGGTACAGAACCAGAGAGAAATATTACAACCATGCTTTAAACCAGGGTACGATTCTCAGATAAGCTGACGGCAGAAGCCGTATTTGTGAAGCCAGGCTAGCTCCGTGACCCCAAGAAACAAGAGTGCTACCAGGAATATTAACAACTGCTCCTTCTCTTTCCAGGGGAAAAACAGCACCAGACCCTGATGAATCTGAGGGGTGCGAGAGCGTGTATTTTGATAAATTCTTAACCTCTCTGTTCCTTCTCTCATTGGAAACTAGTACAGACCCCACCACCACGTGCATCTGATGAAACGGGACCGGGTCTCTTCCAGGGGATTGTTGATAACATCACGCGGTCCGTTTGTTCCTACTGAGTGGGCACAATCACGGAACACGTACCTACACACACTTCACGCACCCTCAGAAACCATGCTCGTGTTCTGTAGCTTTCCATGGAGGCCAGAAGCCCTGCATAGTGCACTCACCTTCCGAAACCTACTCTGTCCCCAGAGTCTCTGACCAAACACGTTACCAGATACCACGTGCTTCCATTCAAACGTACGAGCCTCACAAGGTAGGAAAATCAGCTGTTTTATGTTGGCAGGCATACTCCACAAATACTGACTGTGAAGAACACGCAAACCGGAAAGCAATCCCAGGTCCCCGTACCCGTTAGGATGTCTGCGGTGACTGTCACATAAGCTGTGTATTCCCAGGCATCTCCTCCTGAAAGTTCCAGAACGACACTCTGTTCCTCACTGGCATTATTCACGTCCCATACAGGGATTTCTCCTTTGTTTCTTGCCTGAAGACTCACACGGACCCAGCAGATCTCTTCTTGTTGGGCATTTGGCTTGTTTCCGGTTTTTACCAACTGCTAGGAATTCTGCACATTTCTATACGCTTCTCAGTGTGTTTTGCAAACACACTTCTGGGAGTGGCCTTAGCAGGTCACAGGACACGCGTGTGCCAGGGCCCACGTCACCTATCGCCAGGTTTTCTGTGGGTCTCTGCTGAAAGAAGAGTTTCCCACTGTTCTCACGGATTTGCAAAAACTTTTGTTATGATTACTGACCAAATATATTTCCATGCAGACTGCCCATTCCATAGACTTGTCTACTTCTTTAGGGGGCAGTTGCTACTATGTAGCATCTCTGTATATATTCCAGACCACCTGCTGCAACACTCCTCCTGCCTTCTGATGCGTTTACTTCGCAGTGGTGGCTTTCAGCAATTTACATGGACTTAATGGGATTTATGTCCAAGTCTATCACTCCTTTTTTTTTTTTTTAAGATTTTATTTATTTATTTGACAGAGAGAGACACAGCGAGAGAGGAAACACAAGCAGGGGGAGTAGGAGAGGGAGAAGCAGGCTCCCCGCGGAGCAGGGAGCCCGATGCGGGGCTTGATCCCAAGACCCTGGGATCATGACCTGAGCCGAAGGCAGACACTTAACCAACTGAGCCACCCAGGCGCCGCTATCACTCCCTTCTTTAAGGGCTTCTATCATTTTCTCTTCCCAATTCCACGATTTAAAAAATATATTTGACTACATTTTGTTTTAGCATTTCTACAGCTATTTCTAATGATTAGATCATTACTGTTTGAAACTCTGAGTTGCGAGGTAGAAATTTTCTCTCCAATGGCTAACCAATTATCCCAATAGATCTACTGAATAATCCATATTTTCTCCACCAACTTGAAAATGCCACTTGTACAGAAAAGACGGTCCTACAGGTCAATTTATCTCCTGTAGCATTGGGACCGGTGTTCCTCTCTAAGGAGATCAGAACGCCCACCATTCAGATTTTCTTTAAAACTCTTTATTAGACAATCTTAAAATTTATTCTTCTGCCTTGACTTTATCCCTTAATCAAATCCCCACTCCCTACCTTCAGTGCCCCCCCAAACAGGAATTTGATCGAAAATGTATCTCACACACACACACGCTCACGCATCTGAAGTGAAGTGATAGGTTTTAATAATGAGTTTGCCATTAAAGGGTCTCTCCCTACCTAGCACTCGGTAACGTTTTATATCATTTCCAAGTATTTCATAGTTTTGGGGTTTCTTCCCTATAGACCTTATGCATTCCTGTTTTCTCCCAAGGTGTTCTGCAGGGTTTACTATTTCTGAGAATGGATGCATTTTGCCATCATACACAGTACAGTTCATGATTTTTATTTACAGATCTTACATTTGTTCTACATCCTCCATGTTCCTACTTACCTAATAGATTTTGTATGGCCTCTTCCTCTTTCCACTGGACATTTCTAACATTTCATGTCTTTTGCTTTCCCATGTAACCTTAACTGGAGACCCCAGAATAATTGGGGCCAAGAGTGACCATTCTGGTGTTGCTGCTTTGATCCACAGTTTAGTACTCCCCAATCATTACTCTGCTTGCTGTGGGGTTTCTGATTATAACCTGAAGCCTGTTTAGGAAGTGTCCTGCCATTACTCTTAGAATTTCATCCTAAGTGGCTGCTATGGTGTTTCAAGGTCATTCAGGGTCTCCTGATACAACCATGTGTGTGTTGTTTTTTCAACATGCTCGTCTTATATCTTACTACAATAGAGATGCTATTATTGAAATACTCTTCCATTTATGGAACAAAGCCCATTTGGTCATATTAAATATATACCTAGACACAATTTGCTAATATTTTATGAAATTTGTATTTATATTAAGTGAAATTAGCCTTTTTCTGCTATATTAACAAGTCTGGGAATTACTTATTAAAGAGAGTGATGGTTATAACTCTGAACTAGTTAAGATAATACAGATTCATCAATTTGTAGAAGTTTGTGCAGAATTTACCCATAAAACCGATCCAGTGACTTTCATAAAAGAACATCTAAGAAAAATTTTAATGGACCATTCACATTTTCTAGCTTTTGTTGGATCAACTTATGTCACTTATATTCACCAAGAAAACCAATCATTTCATCTTGATTTTCAAATTTCTCAGCAAAAATTTCTGCGAATTATATGGCCCTTTTAACTACTTGTGATTCTATCATGTTCTTCATCCTTAATCTTCATATTCTTAAATTTTCTCTTAATTTTCTTTATGAATCTTGCCCAAGTTTAGCTATCTGCAAGACATTTTTTAATGTTCGTTGTGGTTGTTGTTGAATACGGAATACTTTTTTTATATGTTTTATGGGAGTATAGTTAACATATGTTCTTTTAAACATCAAGAATTCCATGTTGTATCTAATCCAATCTGAATAAACAGAGTATTTGTTTTTATGTTTGAGTTTCACCCAGCTATGTTTATTGTGATTACTGATAAACTGGGACTTACATTGTCCTGATAGTTCACTTAATTTGTTTTTCTTTGTACTTTTTTATTCTTTACTGCTTTATATAGGATTTTTCACTATATAGGATTTTTCCTTATCTAGGATTTTTTAGTACCTATATATTTTATTTCTCCAACAGTTTTAACATATGCAAGTATACGTGTATTTTTCTAGCAAAGCCATTAATCAGTATCTCCAATATCCTCTTGAACACAAGACAACTTGGGATGCGCACACTTGCCTCCAAGTTCACAAAGCCCTCCCCACAGCACAGCTGCTTTGACATTACTATTGTGTGGGTACCAAAGGAAAATGTATTACTTATCCTAAAATCAATACTTATAAATAAATATGTCCTCGATCTCTTGGCTAGCATCCTTCTGGGTTCATTATTCCTCATGCTCAAAAATATCTTCTCATTTTTTTTTCAACATGGTCTCTGTGAGGTAAACTGTCCAGGTCCTTGTATGTCTGGAAAGGTCTTTATTTTGACTTCAATATTGAATGACAGACAAGGTATGGAATCCAAGAAATCCAACAGATAGCTTCAGGCACCTGTTGTTACTTTTGAGAAATTTCTCATTAATCTATAAGCAATTTCTGTTCTCTTGACTAAGTTTTTCAGGATTCTGTCTTTACCCTGGATACTGCCGTGTTTTATGAGGATGGGTCAAGATGTGCATCTTGTTTGTCTTTACTCTGGCCTAGCAGGTGGTACAATTTTTCTGTATCCATTTTTTTACTTGAGTTTTTAAATTCCAGTTAGTTAACATACAGTGTGATATTAGTTTCAGGTGTACAATACAGTGATTCAACACTTCCATACATCACCTGGTGCTCATCAGGACAGGTGCATGCTTTCATCCCCATCACCTGTTTCTTGCAGCAACGCCCACACACACACACCCCCCCCCCCCCCCCGCCGGCCCATCTCCCCTCTGGTGACCATCAGTGTGTTCTCTGTAGTTAAGGGTGTTTCTTGCTTTGCCTCTTTTTTGCCTTTTGCTCATT